ACCAGCTCGATGGGGGCGTGGATTGCATCTGCGAAAGACGCGTCGACGACAATCATTCGCAACATCCAGACCGACCACCCCAACGCTGTCGTCCGCGTCGGCTTTGTTGGGTACCGCGACTATATCAACGGCAACGACCGCATCGCATCGATTCCGCTCACGACCAACACGGCGGACGTCCACGGTTTTATCAGCCAGCTCCGTGCACGCGGCGGGTGCGGCAACTTTGCCGACGTTCCTGGCGGCCTCGCCGAGGCCCTCGAGATGCGCTGGGAGGCCGACGCCAAAGTCATCATCTTGGTTGGTGACGCGCCGTGCCACGGCCAAGAGTTCCACGACCGCTACAACGGCACAATGCACCCGTCGACGCCGTGCATTCGCGAGCAAATGCGCACGATGGCGCGCACAGGCATTGATTTCCGGTTCCTCGAGATCGTGCCGGCCAACACGGCCAAAATGGTCGCGATTCTCCAGGCCGAGTACGCGTCGACGCTCGCCGACGACGGCTTGGCGCGGTCGTTTGCGTCCGTGTCGCTCTCAGCGGTCGGTGACGAGATCAAGTTTGGCGACGTCGTGCGCCAGATCAGCAGCGATTCGCTGAGAGCGAGCAAGTCGCGAAGCGTCATTACCAGCGTCAAAGCCGTCACCACGCACCCGCGTCTGTCGTCGTTGGACAAGGTGGGCGAAGAGGATGACGATGACCTCGGAAACGACGACGATGATGACGACGAAAAACTTCTGGAACCGGCGTCGGCGGCCAAGGACACGCCGGTGGCCGTGCAGTGGACGCCGCCAACGACGACGACGGCGCTCAACTGGAGTGACGTCGAAGCGTGTCCCGAGATCAGCGCCGTGCGTCACTGCAAGTACATCAAGCGAGAGTGCAGCGACATGGCAAAGCCCCAGACGATCACGACGTCGCAGGCGACGACGATCAAATTCATGCCGACACCATTCGCCAAGGGCACGATGCGCACGGCGCATGGCATGATCGACTGCAAGTTCGACCTCCGGCTCGTGGCCAAGTTTTACTTTGGCACCACCGCCGCCATGGACTACCACGTTCGGACAGACGTCGAGATGACTGCCATCGCGAGACGGCTCGCGATGGAGTTTTCCAAGTCGCCGCACGCGGGTGCCGGCGTCGATTTCATTATGACGTGCTGGTACGAAGTCAAGGGGCGGCCACTGTTCACAGCCGAGCCCCACATTTCTGGTGAGTACCACAAGTACAACAGCAACGGCGGGTGGGTTCAAACCCCTATGAACGATCATGTCGCAACTGCCCAAGCGTTCAGTCATTTTACCCATGTCCACACGCTCGGGAAGCTCATGGTCGTCGACTTGCAAGGCGTCGGCTCCATCTACACGGACCCGCAGCTCCATACACTGAATGGGAATGCATATGGCCACGGCAACTTGGGCGTAGCTGGTATGCTGAGCTTCCTTGAGACGCACCGATGCAATCACATTTGCCGTGCGCTGCAACTGCCGCTATGCAATGACAGCGACGTGTCACCGGCCACGACGGCGAGAGACGACCAGACCATGACGCGCAGCTGCTCGCTCTGCGGCACCATCTACACGATGCTGCACTCGGCCTTTGTCGCCGAGCTTGCTGCCTACGCGGAGCTTCTCTGCGCGACGTGCACACTCAAGTTTGAGACGTCGATGGTCGCCAAGCCGTGCGTGACGTGCAACAAATCCAGAGAGTACTCGCAGTTCTGGTACGACATGAAGGGCCTGGAGACGCCAAAGTATTGCAAGGCGTGCAAGGTCAGCGGTCCCAAAAAACAAAAGACACCACTGGGGCCGCACGGTATCGTCATGAAGGGGATCGCGCTGGCTGCCGATACGGACGGTTGGGCGCCTCTGACCAAGCTTGGGGCTTCGCTCAAGGCAGTGGACCAAACCTTTGATGCCAAGGCGCACGCGTCCGGGCTCCTCGACCTCTTGCGCACCTTTCGCAACATTGAGGTGCGCGAAAACACTGAGCATTCTGGCTCGTACTCGGCGCGTATTTTGAAGAAACGACCACTGAAGTAAACATGTACTCGGTGAGGTAGGTTGTTGCTGCGTACTAGTACAGCTGTACATCCGTAGGAGCATGAACAGCGAAACGTGCCGCCACTCTGGCACGTCGCTCAATCTGGCGAGTGTTAGTCGGCACATGTCATTGCGACAAGGGTCTTCAAAACGCGCATAATAGAGAGATTTCGTGACACCTAGCGCGTACTCAATTTCTGCCGTGGTGCCGTTGGTGAAGCGCACTTCGCCATAGTCGTAGTACGTCCCGTTGTCGCCGCCGTCCGCTCTTCGAACTCCTTCTCTCTGTCGTGGAGCAGTCTTTGGGCTTGCACCTCCAACTCGACTCGATCAATGACGCCGAAGCAATCCTTCGATCTCCGCGTTGCAATGGCTACTTTGATGCGTCTCTCTCGATTATAATGGCTTCACATGATGCGATGGCTCTGGACGTGGTAGAAGGACCATTGCGTTTACGTTGGGCGTCAACACGCTGCGAGCTCCATCGATGATCTGCCAAGACAGACGCTGACAGCGACAATCTCCTGTGCCCATGTGAGGAGTGCAGACGTTGTGACCTCGTGCTGACGACGTGTCCGGATTTTGTCCGGATACCATTAGCAGGTGCCATTCCAAAAGGGCTGCCACAATGAGCCACGTCATCGCCGGCGCAGGAGCACGCAAAACATCTTGCGGCATCGAGCTCGATAACTCTGGATCACAAATGCGATTCATCATAACATTCATATAAACGACAAGCTGGACGTCATCGGAGATGACGCCTGCGGGCTCGTGCTTCCGGCGCCGATGGAAGGACAACGCGAACGCGACATTACGACCACGGCGACCAAGCACAAGCAACGAGCAGCGACGGTCCGTATGCTCATGGCTGGCACGCGTGGCGCGGCTCTCCTGGACACGACGGGGCAAGCCACGACTCATGGCGGCGATGCGCGTAGTTTGTCTGCAAGAAGAGCGACAGGACAGGCGCGCCACCTCGGACGGATGACGAGGTCGCGTGCATCCTGCTGTCGGTCGTACGCAGCATGATGACGACCTTGATGACCGTCACGACGTATGCGCAGCGAGGACGCTGGATCTTCACCGACTCAGATACAGTGGACGCGATGAGTTGGTCATACTACAGTTAGCCTTGTCGTTGCTAACCCGCCACGCCACTCACAATGGCTAGCGGTCAATCGAGTTGTCTGTTGGCCACTCGAGCGTTGTACAAGATTTCACGCGGAGAAGGACACGAGACGAGCGAGGAGCGGTGCGATCAGTCTGTGCACCCCAGAAAACGGCGACATCACCCAATACATCGAAGACAAACTTACGGGCCACGTCGCAAAGTACTATTAGTAGTTGACCGCCGAGCTCTGAGACAAAGCGATGCGGACCACGACGCCTCGCCCCCTGCGCTAAGCTCCGAACGTAGAAACAAAGCAACGCATTTCGTCAAATGCACTTGTTTCTCGTTATAAGCATACGAGTACAGTTTACGACCGCGTCCGGAGCCGGGCGAAATAGACGGCAGGGTTGCCGCTGTCTCGAATCTCGATCGCAGGGTGGAGGCGCAAGAGCTCCTTGAGCCCGGACGCGTGCTCCTTGACGGCAAACGTGGGCGCGATCCGCTTCAGGACTTGGCCGATCGTGGTTGCGGGGGCCCACCCATCGGGTTGCGAGGCTTGGATGACAGCGTTTCGCACGATCTTGTGCCACGTCGGACGCTTTGGCGCCGATGGCGCCTTGGTGCTCTTCTTGGTGGCTTTGCATTGCCGGCAGAGCTTTGGCAGCTCCATGCCCTTCATCTTGTACCAGTACAGCGAGTAGCTTTTGGTCGTGCCGCAGACGGTGCACGGGACAGGCGTCAAGGACTTTTTGACTTCGAGCGAGCAAGGGGTGCAGTTGATCTCCGAGTACTTGGCGAGCTCCGCGACAAAGCCCGAGTGGAGCAGCGTAAAGATGGACCCACAGAGGGGGCAGCTGCACGTCATGGTTTGGTCCGGGTGCGGCGTATGCTCGGTCTCGTCGACGGGCGGCAGCGTGCTCTTGTCGTATGGCGTCAGGCGAAGCGCATTGCAGATACGGTTGCACTTGTGGTTGGCGAGAAATTTTTGGATGCCGACCATCCCCAAGTTGCCTTGGCCGTACTTGGTCGTGTCAAGGGCGTGGATTTGCGGGTCTGTGAAGATTGAGCCGACGCCTTGCAGATCCACAATCAGGAGCTTCCCAAGCGTCTGCTGAAACGTAAAGTGGCTGAACGCTTGGGCCGTCAGCACTTGCACGTTCGATTCGTCGCGGCCCATGTCTTCGGACCACCCATCGTTGTTGTTGTACTTGAGGTACTCGCCAGAAATGTAGGGCTCGGCCGTGAACAGCGGCCGGCCCTTGACTTCGTACCAGCACGTCGAGATAAAATCGACGCCAACACCCGCGTGCGGCGACTTGGAAAACTCCATCGCGAGCCGCTTCGCGACAGCGTGCATCTCGACGTCGTTTTGGATTTTGTAGTCCATCGCGGCGGCGGTGCCAAAGTAGCACTTGGCCGCAAGCCGGAGGTTGTTGAACTTGCAGTCGATCATTCCATGCGCCGTGCGCATCGCACCCTTGGCGAACGGTGTCGGCATGAACTTGATCGTCGTCGCCTGCGACGTAGTTGTCGTCTGCGGCTTCGCCAAGTTGTTGCACTCGGGGCGAATGAACATACAGTAGCGAGTCGCGCTGATCTCGGGACACGCTTCGACGTCACTCCAGTTGAGCGGCGTCGTCGTCGTTGGCGGCGTCCACTGCACAACGTCTGGCGACGCTTTGGCTGCCACCGCCTCTTTGGCATCTTTGTCATCGTCGTCGTCGTCGTCGTCATCGTCGTCCTCGCCAATCTTGATCAACGTCGACGTATGTGGCTCACGCACAGCGACGGCCTTGACGCTGGCAATGGCGCTTCGCGACTTGCTCGCCTTCAGCGAATCGCTGCTGATCTGGCGCACGACGTCGCCAAATTTAAGCACATCGCCAGACTCGGAGAGCGACACGGACGCAAACGACCGCGCCAAGCCGTCGTCGGCGAGCGTCGACGCGTACTCGGCCTGTAGAATCGCGACCATTTTGGCCGTGTTGGCCGGCACGATCTCGAGGAACCGGAAATCAATGCCTGTGCGCGCCATCGTGCGCATTTGCTCGCGAATGCACGGCGTCGACGGGTGCATTGTGCCGTTGTAGCGGTCGTGGAACTCTTGGCCGTGGCACGGCGCGTCACCAACCAAGATGATGACTTTGGCGTCGGCCTCCCAGCGCATCTCGAGGGCCTCGGCGAGGCCGCCAGGAACGTCGGCAAAGTTGCCGCACCCGCCGCGTGCACGGAGCTGGCTGATAAAACCGTGGACGTCCGCCGTGTTGGTCGTGAGCGGAATCGATGCGATGCGGTCGTTGCCGTTGATATAGTCGCGGTACCCAACAAAGCCGACGCGGACGACAGCGTTGGGGTGGTCGGTCTGGATGTTGCGAATGATTGTCGTCGACGCGTCTTTCGCAGATGCAATCCACGCCCCCATCGAGCTGGTACAGTCCATGACGATGACGACGTCCAACCGGTTGGCTTGGTCGTACTTGGCGGCCATCTCAGCGCGAATCGTGTCGAGGGTCGAGCGCATGTTGTCTTGAAGCGACGCAAAGGCAGCGACGTCGCGCGCCCGAGCTTCTTGCGCCTTGGTGTCGATGACGTGGCGCCGCGAGCAGCGGTCGTTCCACTTGCAGCCGCCCGGCGAGTTGAAGAAGAAACAAATTTGGTCTGCCTTGTCACTGGGCTTGGCACCTGGTCGCACCGTGTGAGGCTTGGGCGGGGTCGTTGCCTGTGGAGGTGTTGTCGCCTGGGGCGGCGTCGTTGGTCTGTTGGTCCGTGGCTTGGGACCCGACGGTTTTGGCTTGTCGTGGCGGGTTTTGGGACCCTTCTTGTCGTCGTGGCTGCCATGGTTGGCCTTTGCCGCGTGACGTGGCGGGTCGCCAGCAGAAGCAGCTGCGTGGACGACGAATTGAGCGCCGGGCTGCATCGGGTGGACACCCACGCTCGATGGCGCTGGCACTTGCGGCGCGTAAGTACCCGGTGCCACGCCGTAGGCGTAACCGGCTGGAGCTGGGGCGCCAGAAGGCGCCGCGTTGCTGCTGTTTAGCTGTGCGAGTAGCTGCGATGCAAATTCGTAGTTTTCTTGTGCCACGCATTGCTGGATGAGCGTCTCGAGAGATTGCTTCTGCGTTTGTTGTGGGACGGGTGGCGCGGCGGCCGGTGTCGACACCGGCATGGGGGGTGGCATCGACGGGATGAGCGGAGATCGGTATCCTGCGTGTGCGCCGTGGGACGCCGGGTCTACTGAGAGGAATGTCAGCGATTCCATTGACTGTGAATATAGATGGGGCGCAGTCACCTCTTGCATGGGCGCTTTGCGGGGCTGCGGTCTTGTTGTCCAAGGTTGCGTTCAGCCGAGATAACGTGTCTTCCGTGCACTGAGCTGCCGGTGGTCTTTGACCGGTTGGCGGTTGAAATGAGGAGGTCGTCAGGGGCGCATCCGGTCCAGTGCCCCACCTCGACTGAAGCCGCTGGAGCGTGTCCGGGTCGTCTGCAGTCGTTGCATATTGGGACGCGGCCGCAGAAGCGCCATACGGATTAGGCGTCGCACTCGTCGCGTTGCCGCCGAACGAAGCAGTTGCGTGGTCGTTGCTTGGCACGGCGGGGCGTAGGGCATTTGGCGCGGCGGAGTGCTCGGGACTCGGCGTCGTTGGCGATTGGTTCTCGCGTTCTTGCTTGGAGCGCAAGCGACCGAGGGCCTGGAAGAGGTTGCTGGCCATCTTGCAAATCCAAGAATATGACGATGCGAGGCACAGCGTGTGGGAAGAAACGGCTGCAACGGGTAATTAGAGGGCTTGAACCGGAGCCCAAGGTCGCTGCACAAAAGGTTCGCATTCAACCACCACTCTTTGTTCCTGAAAGCGGTTGAAACAGACCAGCACGTCGCGCAATGCAACAAACTGTCATCGCCGCATCGGTGATTGCGGTGCCGACAGGTGGAAGCGCGGTCAGTCGTATATTTACATCGCCATGGCTTTTGGGGACTGCAAGGACCTCGGAAAATGCGCGCGCCGCTCGACCTGTGCGTGGAACCATCCCAACGTGGCCAAATGTACCGACGACGACGCCTGTCGACGACGCGTGTGCAAGCTAAACCACTCGAAAATCCGCTGCGTGAGCGTCGCAAAAGGCCAAGCGTGCTCGAAAGGCCGCACGTGTACGTTCTTCCACCACGAGGCAAGCTATGCGCCAATGAGCAGCAAGCGCGCCTTCATTTGGACATCACTACTCGTCGTCTACACAATCATCATTTACAACGGTCCCAGTCGATTGCACTTTTGTGGCGCTCCCATGACACGATATCCATAGGCCATTTGTACATCTTGATGGTCGCACTTGTGCTCCAGGTACGAGTACCTAGAACGTACTACTGGACGAGTGGGTGTCAGCCACGCACTTGCTTTCCTAGGCAATTGTCTCATACGAGCTCGGGTTGTTCGCGCTGTAGGGCTAGGGCCGCAGCCCGCTGGCCCAACCTTTTAATATACCAGCAGTACCGGAAATAATGCATATTTTCTCGCCCACCGACAAGTCGGTAGTGGTGGCCAAAGGTTCAACGTGCTGATTTGCGGCATCCCCGGCAATGCATGCACGTTCGGTAGAGGAATGTACTACATATTATGTACATTCCTCGTTCTCGTTTTCAAAACTGATAGCCGTCCCAAGGCCTTCCAGAGGTTGCTTGTCATGCTGCTAGTCGCCGACTCCACAACACGTGTCGCTCAACTGCACTTGCACCACAGCCTCGTACAAGAGCCCGAGCAGCCTGCTCTTCGTCGGCTTGTCCGACTCCTCGCCCAACACGAGTGGCCGCGACGTCACCTCGTTCCGCGGATCGCACTCTTGCCTCCGCCTGCCTAAATCAAGTCCCTCAACCGAGTACACACAACGAAGAAAGTCCGACAATTTTATTTAGCATAGTTTTATCTATTGTAATAGACGACCCACTTCAACAACAACAAAAATGGAAAGGCCCAGGGGGCTATTCTTATAGGCAACGGCAACATACGTTTGGAGGGTTTGACCTGGCGTCTTTCTTTTCGAATGATGGGGCACTACTTGTTGCGATGCTAAGATGCCAACGGTTGCAGTTGGGTCGTTGGATTCGGCTGCGGTTGAAACGAGTGCAACATGACCCTTGGACCACATTCCTTGACCATATAGACACTTGCTTACGATGGCGACCTTGGTGACAACGGTACGTCGCAAAGCTTTACCGTGACCGCTCTATGACGATCGTAGCTTCTCCACAACGCAGAAGAAGGTCACCTGAACGAGGTGAGTCGACTGCTCGCGGACGGGGCCGACGCCAACTCTACGAACGAGGTACCCCCACGTCAACCTCGGTTCGATCTCATTGCACATAGTCGGGGTTCACGTCGCTCTTCCTCGCATCAAAAAATGGACATCGGGGCGTGGTATCGCTGCTTCTCAAGTACGGCGCAAACGTTAACAAGCCGGACTCGGTACGCCTTTTCACAGGGACGGAGCGCGCCGCAAATGCTTCGTAGGCGGGTTGGACACCGCTCATTGTGGCCGCTGTGGGGAAACGCAACGACGTCGCCCAAGTCCTTTTGGAGGCGAGGGCCAACGTCAACAACTGCACCACAAAGGTAATCCACGGTGCACATATTGACTCGGCCACCAAGTTGTTCGCATTGACTGTGAAGCACGGCATGACGGCCTTGTATATCGCCGCCTCCAGCAACAATACCGAGCTCGTGGAGCTACTACTGCAGCATCACGCTGCCATTGACACGCCGACGATGGTGCGCTCGCCCGTTGTGGATTTCTACTGATACGCGGCGGCTAGGAAGGCAAAACACCGCTTTCCGTGGCCTTGGAAAAGGGCCACGACGCCATTGTCAGCCTGCTTCACGCGAGTGTCCCATGCGTTGGCGAGCGGGTGGTCGAAGCGCGTACTGACAACGTCGTAGGCTGTACTTGCGCCATCAGCTACCGATATACCGGTACAAACATCATTTATCAAACCTTTCCTTAAAACAAGACGCAGGCTCCCCACGATAAGCTTTTAGCGGCCATCGAAGCCAACGCGATTCCAACCATTGTTCATCTCATCAAGACCAAGTCAGACGTCAACCATGCTGGCTCGGTACACTGCATGTCTCCGGAGATGATTTGATGGTTTCCATACAGGCCGGGACGACGCCACTCTGCTTGGCCGCCCATATGAGCCGCGAGGCCATCGTGGCCATGCTTCTGATCGCGAATGCCAACCCCAACCAATCCAACGGCGTATAATGAGCCTCCCGTTCTTAGTCCAGTGCATATTTCTATTTCTAGTGCGGCCAGACGCCTCTGAGCATCGCGGCCACGACGGGCGACGCCGCCATTGTCGAGATGCTGCTTCAAGACGGCGCCGACGTCAACGCGACCGACAAGGTGCATTTTCGGATCTTTTATGACGGAAAAAGGACTCTTTTTACAGGATTTGAACTCGCCT